CACGTATATATATATATACATTACTTGGGGTTTGCAATACAGTGACATGATACCAAGATCCCGTTTCAATCTCGCTCTCGTATAACTGAGCGTTCCAACTCAGACAAATACGAATGCCCGAGGTAACTTAGGATACTGTGATGTCCAGGTGGATCAAAATAGCTTGCTCACGATATGACGGATTACGATACCTATATATATATCTGTTCTATTTTTATAGTAGAACCTTCCCAAATAAAAAAAAAATCTTAAAATTTTAAAATATAAGAGGTAGTCACTAAACCATGTACTTTCACACTCAAGCAAGAGAATAGACATGTTGGTAAACTAGCCTTGCACTGTGAGTGTTTTATTGTTTACACTCTATAAAATACCAGTTTTTTCACAAATAAACAAATTAAAAAAAAGAACTGCAGACCACACTTCTTTATATTTTTGAGTGGGCAAGCCATGTTTCCACATACAAAAATACACATAATATATTTAATTTATTTATTTTAAAAAAAAAAAAAATATTTTAGAAGCATAACAATACAACGACTAGATTTGGTGTCACAGTTTGCTCCCAATTCATACTGGAATATTGCCAGCAATAATAAATAAAGCTTGTTCAGAAAACCATTTATTCCCGACATCATATTCAATGGCTAGTTCTCAGGATCTACAACAGTAAATAAATAAACAGAAATCATGTTGATGCGTGGTTTTTAGACGACACTGCCATCTCGCACCGATATTCAACCGCCATATCGAATTTGGATTTGGACCATACCATTTCAAGCTGCAGGGTGTCTAAACAATGACTCAACAAACAATAAACACATTTTCCACCCACCACACAAATTTTAGCCACAATTGAACAACTAAGAAAGCAACAAATATCAGGCTGCATCTTGAAAACAACGAGATACCGCATTACAACCAGTCATTACAGACATGAAATCCTCCACCCCTCCCAGTACACCCTACAGCATTAATGGTTCCTATACTCATTTGCATCTATGTACAACAAGCTTAGCCAATAGATGCACCTGACTCATCAAACTTTTGACCAACCACTCATTCTAAATATTGTTGAGTGGGGGCGCTATTTACTAATGAGAGGAACTTTTAAACGAATTAAACAGATATACATATATATTGTGTTCCATTGAAAAGGGGAATTTAATTATATTATCTCATGGTGGTAGGTTCTGTATAAAACATTCGTCGTTGTCAGCATTGCGCCAGTAATCTTAGTTAATACAAATATTCAGTGTCCTGAATCAAGCAGTAATGGTTCTCCGAAGCGCTTCACCATTAGAAACTCTAGGGGCGATGGCAGAATTGAAAACAAAATTGCACACAAAAATACCTTGGAAAAATTCTTCATGGATGTATAACAGAAAAACAAAAATTCGTACAATGAAGTTCTTAGTAAGGTATTGCCTTCCATCTGTCATAACAATAGTGGGCAATGCTTAGTGAGGTATAGCCTTGCATCTGTCATAACTATAGTGGGAAATGCTTAGTAAGGTATAGCCTTACATCTGGCATAACAATAGCGGAAAGTGCTCAGTAAGGTATAGCCTTCCATCTGTCATAACAATAGTGGGAAGTGTTTAATAAGGTATGGCCTTCCATCTGTCATAACAATAGTGGGAAATGCTTAGTAAGGTATGGCCTTCCATCTGTCATAACAATAGTGGGAAGTGCTTAGTTAGGAATGGCCTTCCATCCGTCATAACAATAGTGGGAAGTGCTTACTAAGGTATGGCCTTCCATCTGTGATATCAATAGTGGGAAATGTTTAGTAATAATGT